TACTCTTCGTCCGCCAAGTACAGCTAGCATAGGCTTGCCGAATGTCCCACTGCCGTAGGGTACCGGCCGAATCTCCTGTATAGACTGCCCGACCTTCGGCATCTACATACAAGCAGTTCACCATGGCGGGGTGTTTGTAGGAGGCTACCGGGGCGGCTACCCGGGTATCCAGAAACACCAACCGATTTCTCGACGTACCCGCGAAAAAGAGACGATTGTCCTGGGGGTGGAACGCCACGCATTGCACGAACCCATGACATTGGACAGAGTAGCGAGTGTTTTGGGTGGCCAAATCGGTGATCTGGCAGGTTTTATCAAACGATCCTGAGAGAATCGATGCACCATCGGAAGACCAGTCCAATGAAGATACGTTGAGCGCATGGGAAAATAAAGTTACACATGCCGTACCTTTAGAGTAATCCCATATCCGTACCGTCTTGTCAAAAGAACCCGATGCAATTTGGGTGCCATTGGGGGAAAATTTGGCCGTGTAAACGGCCCCTGTGTGGCCTTGCAGTTCGGCCCGGTTAATCAAGGCCAGTCGATTCCAACGGCCGCGTTGACTGGCTCGATCTTTGTGTGCCCCACTACCCATACGGTCGAACCGAGAGGACCGGGAACGAGTGTCAGAGGCCAGTGAAATATCACTCGAAGCCGTGGAGTTCTCCCGAGACGTACAGTTAGGCAAAGCAGAGGTCGAGTCTCCCGGAATGGTATTTAACATAGAGTGCGACTGGCTAGCATGACTATGGCCAGTGGTTCGTGCAGTCTCTGATATGGGGGGAGTGGCAATACCGTAGTTACTGATATGTTGTTCTTCTGGAGTGGGTATGATCCAGGAATGGGATTCTTTGGGACTCGTACTATGGGAATTAGTGGCTCCAGTGGACAGATTCGTGATGGATTCACCGTTGGCAGGGTTCATCTCATTGGGATGGGTCACGAAAGTACGGTTGTCGTCACTGGAGGCACCGCGGTGGGTATCGGTTAGGTCACTGTTACCATTCGGGGTGGCAGCATGGGGATGGTTTACCTTGAGCTGGAATGGTGTGCACGATTCCTGGTACCGGCTTTGAGGGCTGCGAACCGATTGGGAGTAGCGGATACTCAGCTCATAGAGCGACCGCTTAAGAACCTGGTTTTCCTCTTCGAGGGATTCAATTTTTCGCTTGAGAGATTTGATTTCTTTGAGCAACCGACCCACTTGGTCACGGTCATTAAGAGAAACGGAGGAGAGGTGTTCTTTTCTATCCATAATTCCACCATTCTCTTACCCGATGCTAACGGTATGGGATGGGTAAAGTCGAAGACTAGTACAAGCGCTACGGAAAGGAGGCCAGAAACAAGTGAGAGAGAATACTTCAAGTAATAAAAGAAGGCGAGCAAATCAAAAGTGGAGTCTCTGGTGAATATCGAAATTGTTACCATTCAGAAAGGTGTAGTGTGGCTGGAAAAAAAATAAAAAAAGAATGGACTAGAGAAAACGGTTGAAGCCCCAGCGAAAAGAGTGACCAACAGCAGCTGGCTAATAAACGAGAACCATAGATAGCTCACTTGCCCAAAGCAGTAAAAAGGTCAACCGATAAAGTGACTGTGAAACTTGAAAAAAGAATGTAAAGGTCTGACACTTACAAAGGTGAGTGGAACCATCCATAATCAATACTCCTGAAACGAACGAGCATTACACTCATCAACCTTGGCAATGTCTGGATTACTGCACTCTTGCCCCTCCCCCCGTGACCTAGAACGGAGGTAGAGTGGTAGGCCCGAGAACAACTCCTGGGCACACTAGGAACAGTCTACCTGCTCGTTTACCCGATCGCTGCAAGTGATAATAGACCTGAAGGGGTGGTATATTTACCTTCTCATAATAAAGCCACCTAAGTTCCCATCTTTTAATTACCTGGTGGGTGGTTTACTATGTCTCCTACTGTTTGTTATACCCACTACATTCCTCCTCTTCCATTCGTCCTAGACTGCCATTTAATTTATTTACTTTTGGCTTAGGTCTATATTGAACCCCCCCCCCAACATATTACTGGGTTAAAAGCCATGGATTTCCTCCTTGGAATTGGTGCGGCAGTCATTGGTAACTGTGTCATCGGCGCAGGACAATGTCTTCAGAAATATGCGCTGAACCGACTACAAACTACTTACGCTCTCCCATCTTCCCTTACCCGTTCGCAGACCAAACCCCCGAGCCGGTCAACCGGGAGCTCAGCTACGAATGCCCACGGTTGGGGCCAAAGTGGAATAGCCAGAAATGGTCCCATGGCGCGGAACAGTTCCCATTCGGGGGAAAATACCGTGGACATGGGTTCCGTTGCGAAAACTAGCCGGACATCACCCTTACCAGTACACCGGGATTTGCTATCGCTTGACTTGGATACTTCGGTTATCCCGGCGTCCACCCACGAACTTTGGCAGCAGTACACCGTACCACGTTACCAGGATCGACTGTGGCTGCTGGGAGTAGGTCTCAATTACTGTGGTGAGATATTCGGTAATTCACTAGCCCTTTCTTACCTCTCCGCTGCTGTCGTAACTCCGCTGGGGATCATTGCCGTATTGGTGAACCTATTCACTGCCCAGCGCGTATTGGGAGAACGGATTTCTCGGGTGCAGAAGCGTGGGTGTGGCTGGATTGTATTGGGCGTGTGCTGTATTTTATTCGTGGCACCCAAAGATGCCACTTTTATTCCTCAAACCGGCCTCCGTGCTGACCCACCAGCACAACAGTTTTTAAAATTTCTAAGTGCCGCCCACCCTTTTACGTTGTTGACCATACTTATCTTAATCCAACTAGGCCTAACCGCTACTGCGTCCAGGGCTCGTCACCCACTGGTCCTCTACGTTCTGATCGCTTCCTTGTTCGGATCCATTAACATTATGGCCTCTAAAACTATTACCACGTACCTTCGTTTACTCACTACTTCTCTCGTCGATAATGGTCCCGCCTCCCCTTTCCCTGTGGAAGGCTTTCCTGAGGTAGTTACCTCCGTCGACGATACCAGTATACTGACATCTGCTTTGTCAATCTTTAGTTATGAGTTGAGTCCCGGCTTACCGCTCTTCGCTTGGTCCACTTTAGGAGTGCTAGTCACACTGGCCATTTCTGTGGTGGGTCAGGAATACTACAAACAACAAGCCCTCAGCCGTTACCCACTATTACAGGTACAGCCCCTTTTCTTTGCCATATTTAATGTGGCTGCGGTGCTCATGGGGTTGGTTCTCTTTCGGGAAATCCACGGCGTTTGGGCTTTGATGTGGTTTATTATGGGATTTTCCACGGGCATTTGGTTAATTATAAAGGGCTCCCAGCTGCTTCAAGAGGACACACCCGACCAACCGAGTATACTAAGTCATCCAGCTACCTTGCGGAAGATGACCCTTTTCAAACAAAAATAGACCTCTGCGGCCCTCCTCAGGGACTTATTTTTTGATCCTTCAATTGTATTCCATTAAATCTCGGCCGTACAATCTACCTATGTGCTAGAATATTTCATACCCCATAAGAACAAATCAAAAGCAGGCGTACGAATAAACTAGGGGTAACTTGGCTACCCATTGACTTAAGCTTGAAAGAAAAGCAGGTGAGAAAGAAGGACCACCTTGGAGTACTTCTTTGGGCATATGTAGGTGTGTTATGGATGACCGTTAGAAACAGCAACATAATGTGCGTGGACATTATTTGATTGCCATTACATAGTTGTCACTGAAATTTTTCTTTCACGAAATAAGCAATTTGAACGGGTACCACACTTCACTTCCGTCAATCATAAAACAAAAATGAAACAAAAATTATTTGTAAGCCATGAAAACATGTGCTCCAGCAGCACCCAAGTTTATATCCCAGTTTGGATGTACTCTGCTGATGTTTGTTATTTTTAAGCTTGAGCTACTGTATCTCAGGAACTGTTGTTACTATGGATCTGAAACTTGGCCTATAGATATGCTCCTATATGGACTACATTGTGAAGAAATGTAGCTGTACTCCCATTCCAATTCCTACCTTTAAACAAGTTTTAACGACACCAATTCATTGGTAGGGTTTTGACGACGATTAGGATTTTTCAAAAATGTACAAGTTTTATTATCTAAAAACCAAAAATAAAGCACTTAGTAGTTCGTCCATCCACCGGTGGCATTAAGTACAACCTGACAGCACTCAGGCATGGTACCAACTACCTTACGGCACTCCTTTCTGGTGAAGTTATACCATGTCACTTTAACATGATCGATCAGTTTGTCCACGCCGTTTAGAGTTGTTTCGTATTCATTTAAGCAGCCCTTGAGCCATGCCCACATGTGCTCAATGGGGTTTAGGTCTGGAGATTGTGATGGACCCTCCACTGTTTGAAATTTCACCTGAACAGTATTTTCTTTCTCTATCTCATGTAATTTTGTGGACACAAAAAACTTTTTCCACATCTTGTCAGAAGGGGGTGGGCGGCCTTTTTCGGTCTTGGGGTGAGAGGAGAGGAGAGATTGGCAAATGGTGTATGTAGTTCCTTTGCCAACACTAGTCATGGAGGCAATGATATATACACTATGGCCGACATTTGGCAACTGGGTGACTTGTTGCTTCTTGGGTTCAGTGATCAGATATATGGTAAATAAAAGTGGATAAAAAGATAATAGAAGACAAGAGCAATGTACCTTTGTGCAAAGTAAGAAGTTCAAAGAATTTCAACTATGTCGATTTCCAACTTATGCGGTGACAAAATTTCACAACCATAGAAACAATAGATCTAGGGATATGCAAGCTCAAAATTAAAAAAAAAAGTGGAAAATATGGGGTCATTTCGATGATAATTTTATATAGACTTACCTGTCCCTGTTTGAATACAACAGTAAAATGTATGATTATGTACTTGTAATTGTACTTACCTATGGTTAATGAGTACTAGATTCCTTGAAAGAAATTATGGCCGTAAAATATCACTGAAAATCCTAATCAAAGGAATTATCATATATATTATACTTTTGGTAAACGTGAAGGTCCTATGGTGTAGTTGGTTATCACTCGAGGCTTTGATCCTCGCAACCTGAGTTCGAATCTCGGTAGGACCTGTTTCTTTTTTAATTTTTTTTCGCTGGTCTTGGGATATTTTTTATTTTTATTGAATTTTTATTTCCCATCAACCTGATCAGGTGGTTTAGGTCAATTTTTGATTGCATCAGAATGGGCAGCATGTGCCCCTGGAAGTAGGCCAGAAAAGCAACGTGCCCATTACAAAGGTCTCCAGCACTCCACCCCCCCCACGTCCTACACGGACCAGATTAAGGATGCTGATTTAGATGAAGTCATTTCCCCTGCTCTCGATAAATAATACTGGAATGAATAGTTACTCATTCGTATAGGGGCCATCACTTCCTTTCACTACCAAATGTGAACGTTGGTAGCAAAAAAGCTGTATTACCTCATTACTTAGTTTAGCATATACCTATAGCTACAAGTATTTAATGAGTGTATCTCCTCAGTATCAATGAAATTTAGATTTAATAAATATTGAGCTGTTTACCTTAATAATTATACCCACTCTTATAGTTTATCAACATCTGTTAATTAAAAGTCAACTAACGTCAAAACCATTACATCTGAAACATGATTGTGGCAGTAGGACTTTTATTAATGACAGGTATACTCAGTTGATAATTTTTTTGACTTTTCTTGGTAAATTTATAACTATTTTCTGTCCTATTATTTTACACGTCAACTCTATAAACCTCGTGATTTCTGTATATTATTAATGAAAATTTTCCTTTTGTGGAGTAACTTTTAGGAGTCTAGATAATTTGAGATTTCTATCCCTCACGCTTTGCTTTAGGCTATGTCGATCATTTTTAAAAAATAAAGTCAGTTCCAACGGACTGGTTTAGTTCAAATAGTTTTTGAAGTGGTTTCACCATAATGATCCAACAGTAGCATAACAAAATTATGTTCTTGGCACTTTTAATTAATTACATTGTAGGAATATTTCGTTTAAACTGCGTTACACTGTGCTGAGATCCATACGAAGCAAATAATTGAATGAAACTGGCTGCCCCAGCAGGAAAACGAACAGGGAAAGTGCCTAGTCCAGAATGTCAGCATGATATCATGTAATAGGTGTAGAATTTGGGTTAGAATGGCCACCACACAACCAGGGAAGTAATAACTATGTATTTAACATATTTATGATTGATGACTGATCAGTTTATTAATTCTGCTATGTTGTCAAGGTTGGGTCTCATGGCCATTAAATGTCTACTCTGGTAGATGTGCAAACTAGAATACCGCAAGAGATACCACTTTTGGTTGGCCACCATCGGGTCTTGTAACCTAGGGGATGCGACTCACAGTCAATTGTTGACTATTGCCAAGAGGCAACGCTTCAAGGGGAGC